TTTGTTCCTAATTTATTTACTTTTTACGGGTACCCAGCCCGGAAAAATGGAACCGGGTTTTGAAATCGACGGGCGGGTACCCGGCACAGGCCTAAACCCTTCGGTGAGCCCAGACGAGCGGCTAGCCAGGTAAACCTAGGTGATGAGTCCGTTTGGAGTGCCGTATGCCGCCAACACGTGCTGCTCAGTCTTTCTTCAGGACGGACATTTAAGGACAGACTTCAGGGACGGACATTAAGAGACTGACCGGACAGACAGACGAAGAAGTAATGGACACTGACACCTTTAATTATTGGCTTCAAATAACAAGTACAAGGTTTTTAATTACTGATGTCTTTCTTATTGGCAAGAAATCGAATAAATAAAGTTCAGCACCTTTGTAGAGGGTAAGGACTGTAAAGCACAGCCAGAACTCCTGGCCCTCAGTGCAACTACAAGAACTCCCAGGATTCGTCCCCATTCACTGTGGGCGCAGAGCAGCGATCCAGACACACGCCTTTCCTCCACAGTGCCCCGCAATCATCTTTCTCACACTCACACAGTCCACCGACTGGGGCGCTGCGTAACAGCTACTAGCTCTGCTAACTCGCTGCAGCAATTTTTAAGTGATGTTTCAAGGGGAACTCATGAGAAATTTAATTTCATTCTTTGACTTCCATATTGCGGAAAGGAATCAATCACTCTGGACCTGCAAACACAAAGCTAAATCACTTTAAATGTGGTTGAAATTACCCTTTCCATTTTCCACTAAAAATTCCTGTACTTGTGACCTACATTGCTATTGGTACTGTTGTTGGGATCATTGGAGCTTCCCTTTTGTGACTGCATTGATTTAATCATAGATGTTTTCTGAGCTGTTCTGATTTTGGTACGGTATCAATTTATGAGATCAATACGATATAAAATTAATCTTTATGAGAAAATGTTGTCGTACATTTATTTGAAAATGTTATCCATTCCACAGTTTGTGGTAGCTGATAATTATTTATTGTGGTTGCTGATAAATAATTCTCAATTACATGTATTTTATCTGATGCAGCTATCTTCCTTTTTGGACCTCCAGTAATTTGATTTCCATTTGAAATATCATCATGGTGGTTTTATAATAAACAAAGTTTGCATCAATATAACATCATTACAAAGAAGTTTAACGTACACATTCATGACTTTTATGACAGGTTTTGCATCAATTGAGTTATTAATGCTACCACAAAGGGTCAGTTAAAATGCTTAAAGTCTATTTGAGTAAAGTTGATAGGCGATAGTGCAGATCGGGTTCCATACACGGACCCAGGGCAGTGGTACCACTTACAAGATAGGAGACGTGTTTAAGCACCCATTGTGGACGAATGGCCAGTTTATACGTGATCCATGGCCATTTACAATACATTGGCACATGTTCAGTAAGCACATGTGATCCAGTCCATACTGTACATTACAAACCACGGCATGGTCGATGAATCCATTTGTATATGGGTAAAGTTACATGTACATGTACTTTGACAATGGTGAATTGGTTGTTGTACGTTGAATGGAAAATCATGCAGGAGGAAGCAGTGCTGAGCTGCACCATGGTTGTACATGTACACTGTACATGTATACATGTTGCAGATTTATTCCATCATAAAGTCTAACAAGAGGCAAAAATAAAATTCAAAATAACCACTGTGGATAATCTTAAAGCCCACTAAAGACCAAGAGCCAGTCTGTTGTGCTGTTCGTGTGTGGCATCTGCTTGATGCGGTAGCAACAGATTTTTAATGTACATTGTGTATTTTATCAAACCTTATGTTTTTCTTTATGTCTTTGTGAGCCGGTTCTAACTCAGAAGTGCAATTCTTGGCTGGAGCCAGAATCAGCTCTGAGAATTCTTGAGCCACCCAAGCCTAATTTGTGGTGCCATTTAGTACAGTATGAATCACTCATTCATTGTGCCTCATTTATTACAGTTTTGGGCCAGTAACAAGGCTCTCTGTTTTCAGTTCTGCTTCCTTTGGTGGGAACATGCATTAAATGTTGTACACGTATTTTTCCAGCATGTTTTCTTGTTTCATCAGTGTAATACATGAATGAGTCACATACATACATATAAATCTGCTTTTGCAAAATGACATGCTTGCATAAATGTCGAGGCCTCGCAGTTTTTCAGAACTGGTTCCACATTAAGTGTAGATTCCTTTCCACTGTAGGTCCATCTCAACCCATAAGTTGCTGGGATCTGCAGCTTTACAGAGCCAGAATTGTTCGTTATAGGAGCACCAGCCAAAACCTAGGAATTAGTGCGACACCATACAGATCATCTCTGCATATTTGAGCAACAGTCCTGCTTGGGAAGCATGTCATTTGATGTGATTGGTGTCTGTCATAAAGACTGGAGATCAATGATCGATGTACACAGCCGTGAAAGTATGAAAGGCCATTAGCCATTTAATGAATGAATTGATTTTCTTGCGCACAGACGCTGTGGGCTTAAAGAATCATGCACCTGCCGTCCATTGTGAATGTCATCCCGGTACCCTTACCTGCCTCAGCAAGAGTTAGGCATGCATTCTCATGATGGAGCTGCAAAAGTCAACATATTCGCCATTCCAAATCTTATCTTTTAAGGACTAAGGGAGTGAACCCTAGCAGCATTGTAGGAATTGCTACTGGCACCCTTAGATCAGCCACCTGCTTATCCGTGCCCATATCCAGTGTAGCAGTAGTATTTATCGCCCCCGCAGTGCTCCTCATACTGACAATTGTCTTAACTAGTCTAGTTAGATTGGATGGTGAGTAGACAGTGGGATAAACCCCAACCCTTAACTCGATGCCATGGCTCACTGGAACCAACATCAGAGCAGCTAAATATCCCGCTGTCGGTATACACCCCACCTTGTTGGCCTCCACTAACGGTGCCCATAGTCGATACCGTCAATGGTACCTCACCAGGCATGGTCTGGCCATCCCATGGTGTCACAATCTACTGTATATTAAGAGTGACTTTCACTCCAAGACATTCAGTCCTTATTTTCAATCTTTGGAAAGAAGAGAGCATGAAACGTGGAAGGGATGTGCATTGATTTACTCATAAGTTGAAGGTGTGCTAGGTTCATTACAGCTTATGACTCCTTGCAATTAATATCAAGTTATTGCCGGCAGCCACAAAGGTACTTTTCCAGAGTTTGTCACTCATAGAGTTGCTTGGCACAAAAAAAATTAGTTTTTCTCAGGTAAAACTGGTGTTCCAGAATGGATGTGGTAACAGCTTTCTTCCCCCCCCCCGGGTTGAATTGTACAGGCAATTGCAGACACACATCGAGTCATTGGACCGAGTCATAAAGATGGCGCCGACTTATGGCGACATAGTCTTGCAAGCTGTATTGTTTTTATTTTGTGTATGCGTTACAGTTGGGTTGTATGATTACAGTTGGGTTTTTAACACTCTTTCACCTGTTATCATAAGATCATAATCCTGGATCTTAATCGTTCAATTTGGCAGTGGATTTTAGATTTTTTATTACATGTAGATCACTCACAAAGAGTGAAGATTGGACAACATTTGTCCAAGTCACTTGTCCTGAACACAGGTACACCTCAGAGGTGTATTTTATCCTGTGTTGTATTCATTGTTTACCCATGACCGCACTGTACAAGCCCGTAGTACTTTTATGGTCAAATATGCGAACGATATTACTTTGAGTGGTCTTATTTTCAGGATCAAGTCCTCTTATCATAACAAAGTTAACTGCTTAGTTCAATAGAGTTACATTAACAACCTGAAGATAAATGTAGGAAAGACTAAGAAGATAATTGTGGACTTTAGAAAAACTCACAATGACATTCAACCTCTTAGCATTAATGGTTTGGAAGTCGAAATTGTTGATTTGTTTAAATTCATGGACCTAGTATGGAAATAGCTTTTATTGAGTAAGTCATGAGTGTGTGAGTCAGCATCCTCTGTAATGTTACCAGTATATATTGATCCATACTTCGTTGAAATGAATTATGATGAAACCTTCATGACAATATTTATATTGGAAATCTAATGACTGAAGGTCAAACGAAATGAAGAATTGGGCATGCTAGTAGTCTCTCGGCGACCACAAATTGTTGAGTGGGAGAAACATTTCTGCTAACAATATTTTCTTATAATAAGAAGAATTGATCTTCCAAAGTGTCTTTTTTCATTTTGAATAAACACTTAATTTTGATTGCTTATATTGATTGCTCATCATGAATTGCCTCAAAGACATATTGCCCTTTAGAGATTGTGAGGGCCCCTGTTAAGAAAAAACCTAAACAAAAACAAAACTTCACCTTTGGGCACTGTTTTGTAGGTATCAGGAAGCATCTTTGATTCTTGTACAAAGTTAGGTGATGAAGAGCCATGTTTATTAGCACCACCTGCTGCATTTGGGGTTAACCCTTAATACTTCTCCCACACTTCAAGACTCTCAATCGCTATACTGATGGTACAAATATTTTCTTCAAACAAAATTTCTTCAGACCAACCAATGGTACTGGTATCAGCAAAAACTGTGACATTTTCCCAATCCAATTTGCGATGTGATGACTTTGTTTGCCCCACAACTTCTACTAACATGTGGGTCTTGTCTGTCCTGAATCACTGTTGTCTGTAGTCTTGCACATTTGTTCAGCAGTGCTTATGATTTTCATTGTTTCCCCCTAGCTTTTCAGGGGAGCCAATCAACAACTTCATTTCAGCCTTATAGTAAACTTTTTATATCAGTTCATGACATCACGATCTTGAAAGCTGAAATCTTCCATAAAAAATGTTTCAGTTTGAAGGTTATTTGTGTAGCTTTCGTTGATATCACTCAAGTGATATGAATAATGCATATCTTACCATAATTACTATAGTTTGTTGCCACCCCGGTGTAACAAAAATGTCAAAAACCTTTCTGTGTGGTTTGTGTCGCGGATCACAGAATATGGAAGGTCTTGGAACCACTAGGCTGTGGCTTGAAATCACACATAGCGCAACTTGACTTGTACTGGCACTTGGACAAAAAGACTTGACTTGCTTGTGCTTGGACCAAATTGACTTGTGACTTGACTTGACCTGTGGTCAAATGACTTGACTTGACTTGCCCTGTGGTCAAATGACTTGTGACTGGACCAAATGACTTGTGACATGGCGTAGACTTGCAGAAATTAACTTGTGACTTGACTTGGACTTGCAAAAGTTGACATGTTGCCACCTCTGCTTATCCATCAAAAATGTACCATCCAGAGTCATGGAATATTCAAATATTTGATTGAATGGAAGGTCAAGTATTCAGACAAGCAATTTCTCAAATTGACTTAGCCCGTAGAGTGTACAGCATCTAGTAATTTATGTGTCTGTTTTTGCTAGCCAGTAAACTTAGAGAATTTGCCTGAACTGTGCAATCCTTTCTATTTTCATTCTCGGGTTAGACCCAAAAAATTAGGATTGTCACAGCTTACCTGAAGGACATTCATGCATGTATCCGCATGTTAAACGACTACATCAGGGTCAGGTCCACCCTGTGCTCTGTCATTTGGAGGTTTGCCTCCTTGTGTTTTCATACGTGACATGTGACAGCAGGGTAACAACCTTGCTTCAAGTCACTGGTGGCATACTTGTCTTTTAAAGTGTATCTCCTGATATTTAAATGTCTTCATGACAGTGCTCCAAGTTATTTAAGTGATTTGCTTGATGTTAAGATTCCCAGTCGATTCACCCGTTCCACTTTGGACTCGTCTAGGCTTACTCTCCCAAAAACTAGGCTGTCTTCTGCTGGCAAGAGGATGTTTTCTGTGGCTGGTCCCCGTCTCTGGAACCAGCTTGAAGTTCAGCTTAGAGAGTCTAGGAATGTGGAGAGTTTTAAGACCGGCTGAAGACGTACCTTTTTAAACAAGCATTTTTAGTTTCTTAGTATTGATTTAACTATAGTACATGTACATGTAGGTTTTATTTATTTCTTATTTATTTATTCATTCATTTAGTTATGTATTTCTTTATTTATACTTGTACTGATATACCGCGCCTGGGATCAGCTTGATGGATTAGGCGCTTTATAAATGTCAATTAATATTATTATTTATTACATAAACGCTTTTTACAAGTGAACAGGACTTCTGTTGCCCATATTATATCTTAGCAGACCAACTTTGTGTGTTGATGCTATAAGTATTAATGGTTTAATGTGTGAGACAGTGTTGAGTTATATTGTACAGCACAGAATTGCTGAACCTCAGACAATGGATTCATGAGTTGAATGGTAATTTTAAAAAAATGGAATCTTACAAACTCGAAAAACATCAAGCGATAATGGTGCCTCTATTTCCTAATATGGACTGTGTGACATTGCTCTGTTACAACACTTTTCAGAAAATATTATTTACAATGTACATGTAATGTGGTATAGATTAAATGGTTCAATCAGTAAAATGAGATTTTTAATGATATCGGTAGGTGCAAAATTAAGAAAAGCTAAAACCTAAAAATTACCAAAGCAGCATGTGTTTCCTTTTGGTGTTAGGGTACCATTTGTCCATAAAGGCAGAGTTGTAGACTAGAGTCAATTGACTTGGACTTAAATCTGGCTTGAGTTATTATTTTTGTTATTGATGACTTGACATTTAACTATCTGGTTTTGCTTGTGACTTGACTTGGACTTACGCGTTATGACTTGTTACCAACACAAGTCAGAAAACTAGTCAGTCGAACCCATTTAAGTTTTTAAATTAGACCCATAAACTTGTGCCTTCAGCGTAAGACTCTGTTCAGCTCGGGACTTCCACTTCAGTTTTGTTTGTCTAAGGCCATGTCTCAATCACTTGACTGTGGCTTGAAATCACGTATCGCTCGAACTGACTCGTAACTGGATAACTGGACCATATTGACTTGTGACTTGACTTGACCTATGACAAATGGCTTCACTTGTGACTGGACCAAATGACTTGTGCCTTCAGAAATTGCTTTCGTTGTTATACATTCATTTTCGGCTAATTGAAAAATGGATGTGCTTTGTCAAACACACATGTATGCATTACACATGTTACACCCTATTGATGATTTTACAGCCGGCTGGATCCATCTTCTTCACAACTATCAACAAGACCTGGCTTTCCTTTGCCTTGGCAATTGTTGGTGCGGAAGATATAGCAGGGGTTGTACCATCGGGTACTCATGACTGGAATAAGTTTATTCCTCCACAAGATCTTCAAAGGTTTCTCCATGCTAGTGAGTAGTAACTCTCTTTGTTTCAGAATACTGTGGCTATTCAATTATATTACCACTTTTTTAGAAGCAACAGTATAAAAGAAAGAAAATTTTGATGACAGTATGTGTTGACAGTCAGAGGGGCCAGATGTTTATGGCTTTGAACTGCATAAATATAAGTAATGCCCCTTTCGGGTTTTTACATTTTTCACTTTAGTTAAGGACAATTCTGGTTAACCAGTTGGATTGAAACCATAGGCAAATTCGAGTGCAAACTATAGTTGACCATTAATAGTGTTTGAACAGTGTATGGTCAGAAAAGTCTAGTTGACTATTTGGAACCAGGCCCAGTGGTCTGGTTGTATTGCTGGTTATTGGTAGCTCTTCTTGATAAAGAAAGGAGAGAACCAGCGGCGTGAGAAAGGTCGACTAGCGGTGACAGCAATGGACAATGTGAACGACAAATGTAAGTAGAAATGTACTGTTTTGCATCTTGTTATTAGTTTTAAATTTATGGAATTATTCCCTTCTATTCACGGGAAGCTAACATAGGCCTATCATCTGGCAAGACTGCAATCCATAGTTTTAGGGTCTATATCCCAAAGCTTCCCACTGATGTTAACATGATCATGATGTACCCTTAGAATTCTGGGGTTTGTTGTCTATTGCGTTCTGGGCAGTGGACAACAAACCCCAGAGTTCTAAGGGTAATTATTATGATTAATGTGATGACCATATAAAACTGTTATTAAATTGTGCTGATGTTCAGGCCAAACTTGGATTTGTGCTTATTTAGTTTACTCCATTCTGAGTTGACTTGCCTTTGAATGAAACCTGTTCATTAGGTACACTAATTAACTCAGTAGGGAGAATAATATATATTTGCAACATTAAGGATTGCGTTGACAGTGACCTTATAGTGAGGCTCTGCATAATTGTTGCTTTCGGTATAGGGGTCCATGGTGTTTTGTAGGGCCGAGGGGGTAAATGGCACTCAAGGCAAAGACAAGGGTGCCATTTGTCCCCGAGGTCGTTCAAAACCCATGGACCCCGTCACAGTAGGCAACAATTGTTTTGTTATACCATGGTCGTAGATTACACTGGAACGGTCTTGTGTGTAATATGGGCATGTTTTATTCCAGGATAATAAAACACTTAAAAAACTTGAACAGCGAATTAGATATTAAATTATAAGGAAAATAATTTATTGTAATGCTCTTTGTTGACCTTTGGGGGTAGAAATCTAGGATTTGTAACAAACTGGTTTACTAGAGAAAAGTGGGATTCATAAAACAGTGGGAGTTTTGTTGACTGGTGGAAAAATAGTTTCTTCTTGTCTCCTCTTCTATCTTGTCAGTGTTATGAGCATTTTATATGAACAGCAATGGCGATTGCAGCAGAAACAGTGATCGGAGCATACTCATCCTCGAGCACAGCTGGGTACACAAACAGAAGTTTTATAACCCATGGTCAGGGTGAAGAGAGTAGCACTTCCAAATGGACACAGTGCTTCATGTCTCCTACACAGTGCACACCTACAATAATTGGTGCGTACAAATGTAGTACCACTGCGGCTATCACCCTTGTATGATAATACTAGGACAGTACCATTTTCTTCAATTAACTATTAACTATATCAGGCTATGGAAACTGCCATACACGTATGTATTCTTGACTTTAATAATCCGTGTCTTACTGCGGATCCAGTTTTGCATCATTGAATTTTCAAATCATTCTGTGATTACACCCGCTGAAAATTGAATTTAAAAGAAAATCTTAAAAGTAAGTACCTTGACCTTTTAAAATATATGTATTCGACCATAAAAGCAGAATTAGTGAAATTTGTTCACGAACAACAAACAGATGAAATCAAAGCGTCTAAAGGTACTACACAACACCTATTAAAGAAGGGAAAAAATGCCCATATAAAGTTCCTCCCTACCAGCAAAAGTAAATTTTAAAGCATTGTCTTAAACCCATTCTTGCTAAACTTATTCCGCTGTGCAATTTTGTATGTTTATTTTAAACCCAACTTAATGGGATTTTTTCTTTATTCTTGTATTGCACTACATAGATCATCAAGCTTTCAATCTGAGCTCGAAGTGGTATATGCCTACCAGTGCAATCAGCTAAGGCAATCTGAATTGTGTATTGATGTTTGCTTTTCCAAGAAATCAGTTATTTATTATTACAACCAATTTTAGAAATGTCCCTCAATTTTAACGTATCTGTGGTTTTGAATCACTATCTTTAGGGGGCTTTTGATTTACATGTACCTTATAAATAACGGAATCTGCCTTGCATAAATGGACAGATGGCCAAATTGCACACTGCTAAATAGTGTTGCATTGAAAACTGGCTGTCTAATCAGTTTTTTGGGGGTGGGGTTATTTGGTGAGATGTACATGTAGTTCAGACTTCTTGTAAGAAGTACACCACTGGTCTTGTGGAAGTCTTATTGTCCCAGTGTGCAGTGTTTATGTCATATGAAATACTTCAAGATGTGTGTAAAGTTCAAACTGTTTTGCAACATTTTTTCCACAGGCCCATGATGCTAGGAATGAATTTACTTTTCACCAAATAGTAATACCCACCTCATCATCGATTTTAAGGCCGTTATCCTGTTTGCACTGGGTTGGCTTTGGTTCCTACGATGGCCTTTCACCTTGTCTGGTCTCTCGCGTCTTCTGCATTCACACCTACCAGTCGCATGTCGGCAGACAAGTCTCCTGCCAGGTCTTGCATGGTCGGCCGACTGGTTGGGACCCCTGCACCTCCAACCAGGTACATCTCTTTACCAAGCAGGCTTCCTCCTTCTGCACTGTGTGACTATACCATCATAATCTACTCCCCCTCGCAAACTTCCTGATCCCCTCAACCCTAACTCTCTGCCTCAGCTCTGCATTTGGAACATGGTCCAACAGAGACACACTACACATCCACCGGATCATCTTCATCTCCACCCTCTCCATCACCAGCTTGTGATCTATTTCAATGGCGATGTCTCACTGCCGTACACCATACAGCTCCGAACGCAGGCTAAGTAGACCTGACCTTACATCTTCAGGGGTGGCAACCTTGATGTTAACTACTTGCTGCCGAGTGGTTTGAAAAATGCGGTGCATACCTACATGTGATTTTCAAGATTTTCAGTTTTCAAAATTCTTCAAAAATTCATCATTTCATTTAATGGACGTTTACACCCACATGAGTTACTGTCTGGTGGTCACTCTAGCCTGACAGACAAAATCTATTGACGCCCGCAGTTCAGTCTTTTGTGCCGAGCACGGTCTTTTGTTACAAGGCCCAGCTCTTTTATCCCAGTTTCATGCTCCCTGGCTTCGTGTATAAAGCCTATGTGCTTGAAAATCGGTCCCCCAGCAGCAGGTAGTTAAGAATGGCACCTGCTCCCTGAACTTTACCCGACCATATCTCACATGTACTGCCACTGCGGCATTCGCTCAGCATATCACCTTGGTAGCAGAACGAATGTACGACACCGTATTTCTCACCATGAACCTCAAGATCTTCCTCAATCTCTTCTGGCTGTGGATCCTCTCCCCAGCAGCGCCTGCAAGTAAAGGTTGAGCTGGCCACCTGCTGACTGTCCGTCGCTCCACTACATCTCTTGAGTACCCACTTCCAGCATGCTGTACACTGGACAGAGTTGGCGGCTACTCCGTTACCGCATACACCACATGCCCATGCCCTACCTACACAACTGACCACCACCTTGGTCTTTTCTGTGTTTACCTTCAGACCCTTCTAATCCAGGCTTGACCTCCATGCCGTCATCTTGGCCCTCAGCTCCTCTCTGGTCCTTACCACTGCCCGAAGCCCTCACCACTGTCTTCGCCCCGGTGTACAACATCACCGCTCTCACCAACCACTCCTCAGCCCCCGTCTTTCTCATGGCTCACCTCAGCACCTCCCATGTGGACACAATCAAATGCCTTCTTCAAATCCACAAAGCTGATGTACACCTTCTTCTTCACTAGATGTTTTTCCTTGACTTGATGCATGATAAAAATGGCATCTGTTGTCCCTTTGCCCGGCATAAAGCCGAACTGCTTGTCATCAATATTCATATGCATGGCCTCGGAGTCTCACCTCAAGTACCACAGATCTTCATGGTTTGCGCCAGTAGCTTAATGGTCCTGAATGAACCACACCCCAATGGGCTCCCCCTTTACCTTGAAGAATGGAACCAGAATACTTCTCTGCCAGTCCACTGGTATCTGTTTGTCTGCAAAGATGGTGTTCAAAGGGAGGTCAGCCCCAGCCACAGCTGAATCACCAGCCCCCTTCTACATCTCTACCTCAACACCAGATGGACTGCCTGATTTTCTTGACTTGGTGAGAGATATCGCTTTGGCTACCTCCTCACTCCCAGTGCTACAGCTGGGTCCCTGAACAATCTCTCACTCTATGTCGCCATCCCACACATTCAAGAAACCCTCAAAATACTTCCACCACACCTCCTTAAGGAACTCACTGTCAACAGTGATGTTACTGTTCTTGTTTTTCACACAGCCAGTACAGGTGACATCCTGCTGACCCTTCGCCATCTGCTTTGCAATCCGGAAACACTCATTCCTCCCCTCCTCACTCCCTAACTCCTCTGCAAACTCCTTCCTTTTCTTCCCTTGAGCCCTCCACCCCTTTCTCGTTGACACCTGCTTAGCCTCAAGATGAGCAATCCACACCACATCATTCCACCACCGTGTCTCCCTGTGCCGTGGCGGACCTCTCGTCCACCTATAGACATCCTCGGTGGCCTTCCTGAAAATATCCCACACGATATTCCACTTCCCATCTGTGCTCTCTGCCACCTCTTCCTCACCCGCCACTTCCACAAGCTCCTCCAGCCTTCCTCTAAACTGCTCCTGCACCTCTGGTCTTGTAAGATGCCATATTATGAGCTTTGACGTATACTTCCTCGTCCTCTTCACCTGTCTGCTTCCCCTTCCCAGAGCCATGTCACCGACATCAAGATGGTGCTGTGACACACATTCTCCAGC